CCAAAATGTCACCCCAGTTATTTTTGTTACGTGGTTTTAAATAATAAAAACGTATTTATAAATATCAAATATTTATTGCACAAAAACAAAAAATAGAATGTAAAGAAATAAATTAGATATCCTCACTGGTCTTTGCCTTTTTCGCTACATTTTTCTCGCTTTCACCTGTAGGCCGTTTAGAAAAAAACATGTCCAAGGAGGTTTGTTTCTTCCTCCCTCTCAGAATGTTCCGGAAATGAGTTAGGCAAGTGTCATTAAAATTTTCATGAAGGGAGGTTCGCAGCTTGGAAATTATCGTAAGGCCCTTAGCCGGCGTTACACTCTTTATCGACTCCTTCCGTTTAAGCACAAAACATATCATGGACGTACTACGGCCATACTGCCTCGACAAGTCAACAACTCGAACACCTTGCTAATGTTTTTCTATAATTTCACGTTTTAATTCAATACTCATCATCTTTTTCTTTGCACTTGACTTTTTACAAACTTTCTTCCGATCCATGGTTATAAAAATAAATGAACTAAAACTGTAAATGTAAACGCAACACAAAACGCGAACACAAAACACAACTTATCACAGCGGAAGCACGCTGCTAACTGATCGTGATGGCGCGACTGCGTGTTACTACCTGTTGTGTTTTAACTTTAAAAGCACACAAAAATATAATAAGCTTGAATTGGTTTATTAAAGTCTCAAAAAACAAAGCTTTGCATATAGAACAAATAATAATGAAGAAGAAGAAAGAAACATTTTAGGAAAAGCAAAAACAAAACAAAAGTACTGGTCAAAAAGAAACATTTAAAATCACAGATTAATATCTTCAACACTACCGAACCGAACTGTATCTCGAATTTCGCTCGTAACTACAAGCAAAAAATCACTTGCTCGTCGGCTCGTATCTCGAAAAACTCGTATGTTGGGGCGCTCGTATGTCGAGGTACCACTGTATTGCTCTTTCTTGATATCATTTTTCATGTACAGTAGAACCTCTCTTTAGTGGACACCTCGCTAGGAGACACCTCTCTACAAAGAACAGTTTTCATTTGCAAATTTACCATTTTTACAATTTAGCAACTCTCTGGTAAGAGGACACCTGTTCCTAAAGGACACTTTGGCTCTGCAATTAGGGGTTGTCCTTTACAGGGAGGTAGTTCTACTGTAGTAACTCTGGTAAGAGGACACCTCTACCTAAAGGACACTTTGGCTCTGTAATTAGGTGTTGTCCTTTACAGAGAGGTAGTTCTACTGTAGCAACTCTCTGGTAAGAGGACACCTCTCCCATAAGGACATTTTGGCTCTGCAACTAGGTGTTGTCCTTTACAGAGAGGTAGTTCTACTGTAGCAACTCTCCAGTAAGAGGACACTCTACCTAAAGGACACTTTGGCTCTGCAATTAGGTGTGGCCCTTTACAGAGAGGTAGTTCTACTGTAGTAACTCTGGTAAGAGGACACCTCTCCCTAAAGGACATTTTGGCTCTGCAACTAGGTGTTGTCCTTTACAGAGAGGTAGTTCTACTGTAGTAACTCTGGTAAGAGGACATCTCTCCCTAAAGGACAATTTGGCTCTGTAACTAGGTGTTGTCCTCTACAGGGAGGTAGTTCTACTGTAGTAATTCTCTGGAAAGAGGCACCTCTCCCTAAAAGACACTTTGCCTCTGCAATTAGGTGTTGTCCTCTACAGGGAGGTAGTTCTACTGTACTGACAAAAACTCAGGCCTCTTAGAGTTTTAGATAGACTCTTTCAAATGTGTATGCATTGCTAAGGTGGCAGTATTGTTGACAAATAAGTATAGTGAGGGTTTCATCGATACATGGGAAGTGGTCGATGTATATGTCAAACAAGATTGAGCCAGTGACTGAGCTCTGAGGAACCCCAGCTAGTATTTTTCTAAATGCAAACAAGATAAGAAGAAGATATTATTCTTAGAATTAGAAATGATAAAGCACAATTTGGATTATAGATTATAATAAAAGAAAATAAGACCTAATCCATTGAAGTAGAGGATAGCTTCAGATCCTGAACTCTTTAAAATATATTAAAGATAATAAATATATAATAAATTTAAAATTATTTTAAAGAGTTCAGGATCTCCTCTACTTCAATGGGTTTGGTCTTATTTTCTTGTGTTTATAATATACTAGCCGAATGACCCGGGCAACGCCCGTGTTTTACCCGATTGAATGTTTTGATTCAAATACTATTTGTTACAATTATAAATTGGCGCCTTAAATAAATGCATATATTAGTTAATAACTATAGCCTATGTGCTTTATCTGTCTATGTACTGTTGGCTTCCGTAGGCGTCTCTTACTGGGAAAAAGAAAGAGAGGATTCCATTTAGTTAACTAATATATGCATTTATTTAAGGAGCGACCCGCTCCAACACAATAGTTACAAAAACCAAAAAGCGAGTGGGGGGGGAGGGGGGGGGGGGGCAAAGTCAAAACCAAAGTGTCTCGCGTAGTGGCGGCGCCATCGTAGCCACGTGATCGTAGCCAACCAATAGGAGAGCGCCATTCCAAAAAAAAAAGCAAATGGTGACAGAGATGATGACGCTCGTAACTGTATATATTATAATCCAATTTGTGCTTTATCATTTTTGATAGACTTCAATGGACCTAAGAAGTTATTCTTCCAATGAGCTGAAGAATTCCAAAGTGAATATCAATGTTGATGCCATCACTTGAAGATTCTATTCTAAAGAATTCAGGATCTGAAGCTCTCCTCTATTTCATGGATTAGGTCTTATTTTCTTTATTATAATCCAAATTGTGCTGACTTATCATGCCATGTTTTGATTCTTCGAGTTGCTTTACTTTGCTGTGGAGCCATTCACTACCATGTAGTCGTTGTTGTGTGCCTGGGTTTATGCTGACATAACATGACTCAACACTCTTTAAGGTTGCCTGGCCGGCCTTTAATAAGAGCTTTAAAAATAAAGAGACACTTTGCAAAAATCAACTCCACCAGCGAGTTCAAGTAACTAAACAGGGCTCTGGCACATTTGTAAGTGCAAATTTGAACTGCTTTTCACATGTGTAGACATGTGGTGTACTTACAGTAAAAACAGTCACCTACTTCTACCCACCATGATTATCATGACCTGTACCACGTGTACTAGGGATAAGCAAAAAAAAAAAAAACTCCAGAGCATGATTAGAACTCTAAAGAAGTGGTCTGGTAGATTAAATTGGCGAAACTGCTGGGAGGGTTTACCATTGATGAATCAAGCCCTCCTAATATACTTTTTAAACACAGTAAGGACAGTAGAAAGTTGATTTATGTATGAAAGAAACATTCGCGTCTTAATGTTTCCATTTGCTAAATACATTCTATAGTCAAAACTCTCATGAGTGACTAAATTGGCTTTTGCTAGAAAATGACAAGAGTAAACAATAAACACAAGATAATAAGACCAAATCTAAATATATAAATAGTGTGTGACATTTCGGTAACATCATTATTACCATCTTCAGACCACAGTACTTTTCTCTGAAGATGGTAACAACGCTGTTACCGAAGCGTCACACACTATTTATTTATTTAGATTTGGTCTTATTACCTTGTGTTTATAATCTACTAGGCGAATGACCCGGCTTCGCCCGAGAAATCCCTTGGGTGCAATTTCCTTCAGACTAAAAGTATATCAATAATAAATATTAGAAGTGCCATAGAATAGCAATGCAGAAGTAACACATAAACTACAGGAAAAAAGTGTGTGTGATGGCAAAAATTGTATTATATTGGTGTTTAGGTATTTGATTTAATTAATATAGTTGATATAATAATATATATTTATATTATATATATAATATAAATGAGTTTTAAAAATTGTTTAAAAAATGCATCGGCCGGGAATCGAACCCGGGCCGCCCGCGTGGCAGGCGAGCATTCTACCACTGAACCACCGATGCTTTAAAAAAATGGCCATATTTAGGTATTCATTCCATTCCGGATTAGTCCGCGTAAAAAAAAGTTCTTCAAATGAAAAAAAGAAATAACCAAAAATACTAATCAAAATGCAGGCGAAAATTTTTCTCAGGTTTATAAAAAGCGACATGCAAAATTTGGTACCAATTGGTTCAGTAGTTTTTGAGTTTATCGCGAAACAGACAGACAGAAATTGACTTTTATATATGTTTATAATCTATAATCCAAATTGTGCCTTATCAAAAGAGTAAACAATCTTTCTCTTCATTATCACAGGTTTGCCGCTTTCGACCAAAAAATAAGGAATAAGATGTTAGTAACGATAGAAACATTCACGTGAAAAACAAGGTATTAAGAAAAATTCCAAATAAATAAATAATGTGTGACGTTTCGGTAACAGTGTTGTTACGATCCTCAGACAAAAGTCTTCTTCTTCTTTCTTATCTCCACTCAATCATATTAAGATATCAAGCTTGTAAAGTTTGTTGATGGTGTCTGCCGGGGAAGAGTAGAGCTCATCAATGGATGAGTCTATACAGTTAATAATGTGTTTTGGGTTTGTAGGTTGAAAATTGCACTTAGTACATAGTTCAGCGTCTGTACTCCATGTTAGGAGTGGCTTCACATGGTGTCTGTTCCTCATGTCAGAGGCGGGCATTTCTTTTGGAGCTAAGTCGGCCTGCTACTGAGTAGTGCTTCCAGTTTTAATGACAAAGGCAGATGCATTTTACTTCACCCAATCAGACAAAAGTACTTCCATTCAGTACTTTTGTCTGAAGATGGTAACAACGCTGTTACTGAAACGTCACACACTATTTATTTGGATATGGTCTTATTACCTAATTCCAAATTGTGCCTTATCATTCACGTAAAAGAAACATTCGTGTCTTAATGTTTTCATTTACAATATTGTATGGACAGACATTCACTTGGGAAGATCACGAAGCAAAGTTAGAACATACACTTGTAATGGAATGTTTAAAGAGAAATAACGACTATTTCTATCCTTAGGAATGAATTATGAAAGAATGAATTGTGAAGAGTAATGATGAACGGAAAAATAAAAGTGTCCAGGGATGGGAATCGAACCCACAGTGTTCTGTCAAGTTCCTCAACATAGTCATCGAGCATACTGGGGACACGGATTCCTTAACTCGCAAGGGCCTGTTTGAACTCAAGACGATTCTAAGCTCCTGATAGGATCCAGATGTCTCTTCAGAGAAGGCCTCGTCTGGTGTATATATTTTCTCTGCTATTTTAAACTCTGTAAACTCTCTTGACCATTGACTACATGTCAATAAACCATTTTTAATTGTCAAAAAATTGTCACAGTGTTCCGCTTACTGAGCAGATGCCATGTCCACTAGGCTACCCTGGACATAATGGAGTACTCCATAGAAAATACAGGGTATACTCCAAATCAATCTAATACAATAGTAGAGCGGTCTAGAGATTAATTTGGCGAAACCGCTGAGAGGGTTCACTACTGATGAGCCAAGCCCTCTCATTCAATAACTCATATCATTGCAGTAAGGTCTGTAGAGATAATATTTGATGATATTTAAGAGAAACGTATTGCCAGTAAATTTATTTGTGTAAAATTTTAATAATGGAATGTCTAATACTTGTTGTGAAGTACTGTAAATGTGTGTAGGTAGCATGGAGGTCCAGCCTGCTAGGGTCCTGCTGTGCCCTCGGACTGCTGGGACTGGGGCTAGGTCCGTCCTACCTGTACGGAGGCTCCACCCATCTCTCCATCCTCTCCTTCTTCCACTACTCAGAGTACCTGGTGACTGCCATCAGCAATCCCAAGACTCTCAAGCTCAAGTCCTTCCTGCTGGACAACACTTATGAATACTGGCTGGCTGCCTTACTGGGCTGGATGGAGTACTTCGGGGAGCTGTGGCTCTTCCCTGGTGAGTACTTTGGAGGGTCTTTCTTGCTGAGTACTTTGGGGGGGTCTTTCTTGTTGAGTACTTTGGGGGTCTTCTTTGGTGTTGGGGATCTTACTTGGTGAGTACTTCGGGGAGCTATAGCTCTTCCCTGGTGAGTACTTTGGGGGGGGGTCTTTCTTTGTGAGTACTTTGGGGGTCTTTCTTGCTGAGTACTTTGGGGGGCTCTTTCTTGTTGAGTACTTTGGGGGTCTTCTTTGGTGTTGGGGATCTTACTAGGTGAGTACTTCGGGGAGCTATGGCTCTTCCCTGGTGAGTACTTTGGGGGATCTTTCTTGGTGAGTACTTTGGGGGTCTTTCTTGCAGAGTACTTTGGGGGTCTTCTTTGGTGTTGGGGATTTTACTTGGTGAGTACTTCGGGGAACTATGGCTCTTCCCTGGTGAGTACTTTGGGGGTCTTCTTTGGTGTTGGGGATCTTACTTGGTGAGTACTTCGGGGAGCTGTGGCTCTTCCCTGGCGAGTATTTCGAGGATCTTCTTTGGGGAGTACTTTGGGGATCTTCCCTGGTGAGTACTTTGGGGGGTCTTTCTTGTTGAGTACTTTGGGGGTCTTCTTTGGTGTTGGCGATCTTACTTGGTGAGTACTTCGGGGAGCTGTGGCTCTTCCCTGGCGAGTATTTCGAGGATCTTCTTTGGGGAGTACTTTGGGGATCTTCCTTGGTGAGTACTTTGGGTTTCTTCCCTGACGAGTTATTTGCAGAGCTTTTGTTGTTCTGTTGCAGCTTTCATTCAGTCCTATTTTGTGTTAGCCATCCCATTAGCATGTTGTCAGCCCACTACTTGTACTCACACCGGGAGGTACAAATAGGGGTTTTCCATCCACACATTGGAAGTTAGACCAAATGGCATTTCTCAAAACCTTCCACAGTACTTCTAGAAAGCTTTCTAACTCTACCAGGTGGTAAATATTTATAAGTCTTGTGTATCACATTGTACACAAAGTCTTGTGTATCACATTGTACACAAAGTCTTGTGTATCACATTGTACACAAAGTCTTGTGTATCACATTGTACATAAAGTCTTGTGTATCACATTGTACACAAAGTCTTGTGTATCACATTGTACACAAAGTCTTGTGTATCACATTGTACACAAAGTCTTGTGTATCACATTGTACACAAAGTCTTGTGTATCATATTGTACAGTCTTGTGTATCACATTGTACAGTCTTGTGTATCACATTGTACACAAAGTCTTGTGTATCACATTGTACATAAAGTCTTGTGTATCACATTGTACAGTCTTGTGTATCACATTGTACACAAAGTCTTGTGTATCACATTGTACAGTCTTGTGTATCACATTGTACATAAAGTCTTGTGTATCACATTGTACAGTCTTGTGTATCACATTGTACAGTCTTGTGTATCACATTGTACATAAAGTCTTGTGTATCACATTGTACAGTCTTGTGTATCACATTGTACAGTCTTGTGTATCACATTGTACATAAAGTCTTGTGTATCACATTGTACACAAAGTCTTGTGTATCACATTGTACACAAAGTCTTGTGTATCACATTGTACACAAAGTCTTGTGTATCACATTGTACACAAAGTCTTGTGTATCACATTGTACACAAAGTCTTGTGTATCACATTGTACAGTCTTGTGTATCACATTGTACAGTCTTGTGTATCACATTGTACACAAAGTCTTGTGTATCACATTGTACAGTCTTGTGTATCACATTGTACACAAAGTCTTGTGTATCACATTGTACATAAAGTCTTGTGTATCACATTGTACACAAAGTCTTGTGTATCACATTGTACACAAAGTCTTGTGTATCACATTGTACATAAAGTCTTGTGTATCACATTGTACATAAAGTCTTGTGTATCACATTGTACACAAAGTCTTGTGTATCACATTGTACATAAAGTCTTGTGTATCACATTGTACATAAAGTCTTGTGTATCACATTGTACACAAAGTCTTGTGTATCACATTGTACACAAAGTCTTGTGTATCACATTGTACACAAAGTCTTGTGTATCACATTGTACATAAAGTCTTGTGTATCAAATTGTACATAAAGTCTTGTGTATCAAATTGTACATAAAGTCTTGTGTATCACATTGTACACAAAGTCTTGTGTATCACATTGTACACAAAGTCTTGTGTATCACATTGTACACAAAGTCTTGTGTATCACATTGTACACAAAGTCTTGTGTATCACATGGTACATAAAGTCTTGTGTATCACATTGTACATAAAGTCTTGTGTATCACATTGTACATAAAGTCTTGTATATTACATTGTACACAGAGTCTTGTGTATCACATTGTACACAAAGTCTTGTGTATCACATTGTACACAAAGTCTTGTGTATCACATTGTACACAAAGTCTTGTGTATCACATGGTACATAAAGTCTTGTGTATCACATTGTACATAAAGTCTTGTGTATCACATTGTACATAAAGTCTTGTATATTACATTGTACACAGAGTCTTGTGTATCACATTGTACACAAAGTCTTGTGTATCACATTGTACACAAAGTCTTGTGTATCACATTGTACACAAAGTCTTGTGTATCACATTGTACATAAAGTCTTGTGTATCACATTGTACACAAAGTCTTGTGTATCACATTGTACTTTGTGTGTCTCAGGCCTAAAGCTGAACCCAATCCCCTGGTATCTGGGCCTGGTGCTGTGCGGGGGAGGAGAGCTCCTGCGCAAGGCGGCCATGTTGAATGCCGGTCACAACTTCACCCATCAGATCCAGATGTACCACCAGCCTGGCCATGTGCTAGTCACCTCCGGGGTGTATTCCCTCTGTAGGCATCCTTCCTACGTGGGCTGGTTCTACTGGTCCATAGGGACACAGGTTGGTGGTTGTTAGCCTTGTTATTATCACTTTTTTATTATTCCATTGTATAATTATACAAGATCTCCATTGGGGGGGTTGGTGGAAGGGTGGTCTAAACTGTTGATTTTCGGCCGCTTCGACCCGGAATCAAATCCCTCAAAATCTCTCTAATTAAAAAAAAAAGTGCTCCAATGGCCCCCAATTCTTGCAAAAGTCCAACTCCACCAGTGAATGCAAGTAACCAAACAGGGCTCTGGCACATTTGTAAGTGCAAAAGTCAAACTGCTTTTCACATGTATAGACATGTGGTGCACTTACAGTAAAAGCAGTCGCCTACTTCTACCAACCATGATTATCATGGTCTGTACCACGTGTACTAGGGATAAGCAAAAAAAAAATTATTCCATTGTATAATTATACAAGGTCATGGAGACTATATTCATGGATCAAATTTACAATCTTGGTAGGGTTGGAATATAGGTCCTGTCTTGGGGCTTCCATACATTCTATGAGGTGGTCTGGGGAGGTCTCTTTGGTCCTGTAGATGGTGTATTGTGTCTTTACACCATCCTGGAAGAGTCTTGTATGGCTGTCAGTTTTAAGCCTGGAAATACAGGTTACTGCCTGTTTGTTCATCCCACATTCTAGAATAGCTCCAGGCTTTTGGTTCAGATACCAATGATGGGAAGTTGACTTCTGTATTTTTGCTTAGATGTTTCAGCCTTATTATTATTATCCCTATTACACATGGTACAGGCCATGATAATCATGGTGGGTAGAAGTAGGCGACTGCTTTTACTGTAAGTACACCACATGTCTACACATGTGAAAAGCAGTTCGACTTTGCACTTACAAATGTGCCAGAGCCCTGTTTAGTTACTTGCACTTGCTGGTAGGGTTGGATTTTTGCAAGAATCGGGGGCCATTAGAGTATTTTTTTTTTAATCAGAAAAAAGTGCACAATGTGGAATTTGATCCTGGGTCGAAAAGGTTGAAAACCAACGGTTTATACCATCCTTCCACCGACCCCTAGCCTTTTTATTATTATCCCTAGTACATGTGATACAGGCTATGGTTACCATAGGATATTTGTTAGTTGGGAGTTGAATTTGGAAAAGTATATAAGGCTACAAACACAAGGTAATAAGACCTAATCCAAATAAATAAATAGTGTGTCACGTTTCGGTAACAGCGTTATTGCTATCTTCAGACAAAAGTACTGAATGAAGATGGTAACCGCTGTTGCCGAAACATCACACACTATTTATTTATTTGGTCTTATTACCTTGTGTTTATAATCTATAATCCAAATTGTGCCTTATCATTTATATATGACTATCTGCCATAAGGAGGAAGGGAAGCAGTAACAAGCTCACTAAAAAAAACCTGGGTTCAGCTGGCCCGGCTGATAGTACCCTGTAAGGGCTCCAGGGATACAGGATGAACAGCGTTTGTACTCCATGTTAGGAGCCGCTGCACCTCGTCTGTTCCTCATGTCAGAGGTGGCCATTTCTTTTGGAGCTAAGTCGGCCTGCCACTGAGTAGTGCTCCCAGTCTTAATGACAAAGGCAGACACATTCTACTTCACCCAGTCATGATGGTTA